CAAACACTAACAGACTGGCAATTAGCCAATGCAATCAATTCACCGATAAATTGGGCTCTACTGCTAACTGTGTGAAACATGTTTACATTACAGTGTTCATCTCTTTAGATTTCGTCAGTAGTTTATTCCTTCCAGATCTTTGGTCCCTCACATGAACTTTTCCAGAAAGTAAATGAACAAAGCAAACGCTGCTGAGAAAAAATTTAAAAAAATTCAAGTATACATAACATATGTAAAGAACTTCCACAGAAAAGGCGCCATGGGTTTGGCCAAAGTGCTCATTTTAGATCCACAGATAACGCAGCTTAAAATCCAGTTTAAGCATCTTGTGAATAATGTTGTTTAAGTGCTTCTTTAAAGTATATATAAATAAGTATTTCAAGAAAGGGCCTCCTCTTTTGTTGTGGATGGGATCAACAGGAATGTGAAAACTGAAATAGTCACTGTGATGCAGCGCGACCAAATCCACTCGGTCATTAGTTGGTTTTTTCTCTTTTTTAGGTTGCAGGAGCCTAAAAGTACCACTCAGTTCTTGAAGGCTCCACAGCGACTAGCTTTGCTGATAAACTCCTTCAGCATTGCTCCGTCTACCTGCCAGAAGGCTTCGGTCTGAGTTACCTGAGTCAGGTGGTTTATACAAAACCTGAAACAAAACTCTTCCAGGTCCTGGAAAATCAAACAATAGAAAAATAATAATGAGATTAGATTGCAAAAGAAAGAACAAACATTCCGATGCTTATTTTACAGGGTGTTAAACCTTGTAATCCCTGACAGTTTTCCTTTGCTGCTATACCATAGTGCAGACTCGGGCAGACTGCCATCACTCTCAGACAGACTGGTGAAGGTTTGCAAATAACAGCTGTCTAATATTTAAGCACAGACTGATTGTCAACATGTTGCAATCACCGTGTGAGTGCGCTGATCAGTGTAATAGAGGACCCGACTCGACTGCTTGCATGCTTCTACACAGCAAGATTGCTGAGCGGCAACAACGTCACGAATTCTGGAGGAATTTCTGTTCAGGTGTCTGAGTTTCTGACTCTGAATGTGTGCAGTTAATATAAATTTCTGTTTATATGTGTGTGCACGTCCTTCATTTTGGCCAGTTTATTACAGTTAATCACTATATTATCACAAACAGATTGCATGTAATTGCAGCCTTGACCCAAGCTCAAACTGATAGCAGACTGACTGTCGTATTGCAGTTTTATTGCACCCAAGTCATTTTTGAAGATGGACACTGACTGTGAGTCGTCGCAGACCTGATCCGCGTGAATGTGAATTTATCCACCACCTCAGCTTATCCACCTGACAAACCTGTTTATAACTGTACCTCTGCGTCGTATCGTATGGCAGCAGACAGCAGGGTGAAGGCGTTTTCCACAGTGATTCCTCTCTTGATGATCTGCTGACACAGGCGTTTCAGGCGGTTTTCACAATAAGAGGTGGCCAGGTCCAACAGGCCTGCAGCACAACACACAAACACACACACAGTGTCAAAAAACATCCTTCTACACACTCTCAGAACATATTTAACAGTTGCATTCATACTAACCAATGGCATCCTCAGGCGAAAGGTCAACAGTGTCTGTGTAAAGAAACTGCAGGAAGGACCTGTAGACGGGATACGAGAACTGGCCAATCTCTATCACTTCCTGCTGATCCTCCGTCCACTGGGAGCGAAACATTGAACGGAAATGCTCGCACCTAGCCG